TGTCTCAGCCCTCAGATGAAGGGTGTTCTGGGAGGTGTGGTGGTATCAGATGTGAAAGGAGACACAGTGGGGGGTGTTGTGGTATCAGGTGTGATAGGAGACACAGTGGGAGGTGTTGTGGTATGAGGAGTGAAAGGAGACAGTTGGAGGTGTGGTGGTGTCAGCAGTGAATGGAGACACAGTGGGAGGTGTTGTAGTATCAAGTGTGATAGGAGACACAGTTGGAGGTGTTGTGGTATCAGGAGTGAAAGGAGACAGTTGGAGGTGTTGTGGTGTCAGGAGTGAAAGGATACACAGTGGGAGGTGTTGTCGTGTCAGGAGTGAAAGGAGACACAGTGGGAGGTGTGTGGTGTCAGCAGTGAATGGAGACACAGTGGGAGGTGTTGTGGTGTCAGCAGTGAATGGAGACACAGTGGGAGGTGTGGTGGTGTCAGCAGTGAATGGAGACACAGTGGGAAGTGTTGTAGTGTCAGGAGTGAAAGGAGACACAGTGGGAGGTGTTGTGGTATCAGCAGTGAAAGGAGACGCAGTGGGAGGTGTGGTGGTGTCAGATGTGAAAGGAGACAGTGGGAGGTGTTGTGGTGTCATGAGTGAAAGGAGACACAGTGGGAGGTGTTGTGGTGTCAGCAGCGAAAGGAGACACAGTGGGAGGTGTGGTGATATCAGGTTTTACTGTTGTGTTCTTTTCCCTCCCCAGGAGTGACTGTGTACTCCACTGTGGGGGGGTCAGTGGGTCTGCCCTGTGAGAATCTGAAAGAGATGAACAGATCGTCTATTGTGTGGGTCTTCAGTCAAAATCCAGGGGCACCCATCTTCCTGAGCAAAGATAAGACGATCACAGTCAGAGACCCAGAGAGAGCAGGGAGGCTGCGTGTGGGGGCAGACTGGTCTCTACACATCAGATCTCTCTGGCCTCAGGACTCTGGACTGTACACCTGTGTGCAGTACGTCAGTGGAGAGTATCATCGATCTGGGACAACGGCCACTCTCTACCTGCTCTCCTGTAAGAACGTCGTTCTCGGTGTCTGTGTCCATGTGGAGATCAGTTTACATCTCTCTCTCTCTCGCTCTCTCTCTCGCTCTCTCTCTCTCTCTCTCTCTCTCTCTCTCTCTCTCTCTCTCTCTCCCCCTGCCTCTCCTTCACTCATCTGTGTCTCTCTTTCCCTTCTGATAATCAAAGCCTCTTGTTGACAATTGACAACGCCTTGAAGGGTATAGATGATGATTGAAAGATATTGATGATGATTGAAAGTTCTTGATCATTAACGATTGAAAGGTATTGATGATGATTGGAAGGTCTGGGTGTTGATTGAATGGGATTGATGACGATCGGAAGGGTATAGATGATGATTGAAAGATATTGATGATGATTGAAAGTCTGGATGTTGACTGAAGGGTATTGATGATGATTGGAAGGTAGGGATGATTATTGATGATGCAGGGGTCTTGATGATGATTAACGATTGAAATGTATTGATGATGATTGGAAGGTCTGGGTGTTGATTGAAGGGTATTGATGATGATCGGAAGGGTATTGATGAGAAGCTCCATGTGCTCTTTCCTCAGTGACAGCCTCTCCCTCTGGGAACTTGCGGACCGGTAGTATGCTGACCCTCAGGTGTGGGCTGGACTGTGGAGCTGGACTGGGAAGCTGCTTGGAGACTCCCGAGGGACTGACTATGTCCTGGTGGAGAGATCCGGATCTCGTGCGGAAGGTGGAGATGGGCAGATCCCAGATCAGAGATTTCAGGACATACAGTCAGCTCTCAGTGACTCTGCAGAGATCAGATCACAACAAGAACTGGGTCTGTGCGCTGCTGAAAGGAACCGAGCTCAAGACCTACGATACCTTCACCGCTGTACTCACAGGTGGGCAGGGTGCTGTCGATGCCTCCTCTTCCTCCTGCAGATCATGTTCCTGTGAGAGGTCGTTCCACTGACCTCTAACCTCGTTCTCTGCTACCTGAGCTACCCACACTCCTCTCCACAACCTGGAGTGGGTTGATGTTCTAAGGTGTGTGTCCCTGCTGTCCTTCCACAGATAGCAGGGAGGAGTCTGAACGGTCCTGTGAAATGATTTCTTCAGCAGTCCTGTGTGGACACTGTCCCTCTGGGGCGAGGGGAGAGAACGGAGTGGGTTGGTCTTGAAAGTGTGGGAGTGTCTCAGTGTGTCCCTTGCTCTTCCTCCACAGATTTCACCCAGGACCTGTACAGCAGTGTGGGAGGATTCCTGCAGCTGCCCTGTGTGGACACTGTCCGTCTGGGACGAGGGGACAGACTGCAGTGGAGCTTCAGAAGATCTGGCACCATCACCTACCATGCCCTGTTCACATTACTGGGGAACGGAAGTCGGATCACGGGGATGGAGGTGGACGGGGACAGAGTGGACATGACGGTCAACTCCTCCCTGCTGATACGCAGCGTCCAGACGGGGGACAGCGGAGTCTACCTGTGTCTCCAGAACAAGGACAACCTTCAGGAGATCCACCTCAACACCTTGTCAGGTCAGGAGCCTCTGCCCTCACTGTAATTTGTCCTTTGGATCCTGCTGCTGGTCATCTGTGTTCATCCGAGTGCGGATTGTGTCCTGACAGACATGAGCTACCGGCTGCAGTCATATCGTCCTCTTTGTTTATGTCTGTTGTGGGAGGACCAGGGGAAGGGTCATTTATATCCTGTGTCCTGATGTAGCTCGCCCGTGTCTCCTTGCATAGGCCTTTTCCAGCAGCGGGTCAGCTGGTACTCCTGAGCTATAGATGGCGGCCATCTTGCTCAGGTCTATATCGAGTCTATTAAGCGTTTCGTTCCGGAAATACAGGTTCTAAATGACCCTGGTCCTCTTACAACT